ATGCCTCTCTTTCATTTGTCTGTAGACACAAAGATTTGTCTTTTTCTTATCTGAAGTCTGTAGCTTCTCTGATACAAAGGTTTAGCACTTGATTACGTATTGTCCAGCTTCTGCTTGCTATTATAACTAAAAAAGATGCAACAAGGTGAGGAGAAGTGACAAAAATAAACACAGTGTGAGTAATGATGGAATGGTGATGGACAAGAAGAATCGGTAGCTCTGTACAGTCAAGAACAGTAACATATTTACTAAGCAGCTACAACCCATGGCTTTGATCTGTAAGCACAGTGCCTTTTCTGTCAAAAATACCTTACTATTCTCTCCCTAACCTGTACTTGCTCTGTAAATTGCAACTACAGGTAAATGAGCTGTTATGACAGAGTGCAGGGTTTCCACACGCACCTGTGTACAGCCCAATACGCAACAACCCAAACCAAGCGTAGTCCCGAAAGACAGTCCAGTCGCGCAAAAAATCTGACTTAAGTTACTTCAGAGTCTCTTAAAATACAGTTATCTTAATTTCTGAAACACAGTTCATTTGTACGTCAAATAACGATATCTAGAGGCTGGAGAAATGAAAGCTAAAGTAACACAAGTGACAGTGAACAGTAATAAATACTTTGAGGTTGTAAATAATTTTCCACTGTTTGAAGAGGAAAATCAGTCCATGTTCTGTATATGCAGATTGTAAAATCTGAAATATGTAAGAAATGACAACTTTCTGCAATTTGATTTTACATGCCGGTAAAGCTAAACTTTCATCATCTTGTGGAAAGCCACATGTTGTCTTAAGCCTGAATGTTGTTTTGATGGTTCAGGTTATGTCTACCCCCCACCTGTGAGCTGGTGGCCTGTCCCCAGGGAGATGCCTGATGCCCCAGGGCTGGGGCAGCCACTGGCTGCCCTGCTCTGGCTGGGGGCGGGATGGGCCCTGACTGCCCCCTGCCACTCTCGTCTCTCAAGGATCAGTCAGGCTTCCCTGACACCCTTCTGTGAATTGGTCGTCTTATAATATGGGTTATGTTTTCATACTCCTAAGTCCCTTTTTTAAATGCAATCTTACATTTAGCAGTGGAAGCTTACCTGGTAAGTGAGGTACAGGGATCTTGTTACAGGTATCTTATACAGGTGCGTGAGGACACACACACACATGCACACACACACACATGCATGCACTTCATGTGCATTTTGGAGTATATAAAATTACTTAGTGCTTTTTTGTTATTTCTTGCGGATTTCATGAGCGTCACTCCCATGTTTTATTCTGTCAGCGCTATCTGTTTGCCAGCCTACACTGATGTCTTATTTCATAGAGGGGTACATGAAGTAAGTGCTGTTAATCTCGAAAATGACAACTTGAGGAGAATGAATTTTTCACTTTCACAGGTAGGTAGAGGAAAAATTACCCATAAAAGTAGTAGTGCTTGCAGAGACTTTTCCAGTTCTTCTACCCTGAGCTTTAAGGAGTCCTTCTGATTATATGAGTGAACTTGGAAGAGGATGAGTCCATCGACACTGAAATCCTAGATTCAGTGAATTTAATGAGGAGTTTTCTGTCTTGGTAAAGAGTAGTAACAGAATTTGTGTGACCTCAGTTTGCAGAGATTTTGTCTGCACCATGGAGCCCCGTGACATGGGGAAGAAGGGAATCTCCATGCCCTGAAAAAAAGTTTATGAGGAAATAGGTTTTCTGTTGGACTTGGACTAAAGTCAAATTAGGGGGAGTATGAGGAGGTCATTAGCTGAAGTCCTGCAGTGAACACCTTGTGAAAAAACTGCCCTGCTGAAGCAAGTCTTTATTTTCTTTTAGTAAACAGACATGTAAAATTAATTTATTCTGATCGTTTGTAGGGAACTATCTTTTCTGATTTATAGTCTGAATAGATCTCACTGTTTGAGAAGGTTTCTGGGCTGCTTGGTTTCATCTTCTGTTCGTAACTTTTTTTCTCCTGCAGCAACTTAACAAGTGTTTTCTCTGCTCTGAGTTTTTACTAGCATATCTTTAAGTGGCCATTGTCACTACATTGTCACATTACATTATCAGTTTAAAGGGACTGTAGTATCAACTATAGTAGCAGTGGCCCCTGTAGGGTTCGGTGGAGAAAATGGGGTCAACAGTAAGTTAGTATTTTATACCTATTCGGTTATTTTCTTGGGTTTGCATACTCTGCTTACAAGTTTCTGCTTCTATCACTGTTACATGGTATAAGTAAGTTGTGTCTGTTTTCTGTCAAATTTGTCATTTTCTAAATCACAGTTTTCCTTCAGGCTGTAGTTAGAGGAAAAATTGAAAGGTATTTCCTCTGAAATGCTGTTCTTGCTTACACTTCCAAGGGGAAAAGCAAGTCAGCTGTTTAACAACTTGAGGATGTTTCATGTATAGATAGGTTCATCACCTGCAGATTTTCAAAATAAGGCCCCTGTTTTGAAAATGTGATCCTAAATCTGAGGTAACACCAGAGCACCTTGGAGAACATTGTTTAGAGGTAGTTTTCACTCCCTTGCTATGAACTTTTCACATCTGTTGGGCAGCATTCACACCAAGGAGCATGGACTTTAAAAATTAATTTCATACCATAAACCACCAGTAGCTGCAAGCTATACTTTTCCTGTGCCAGACCTACAAAGGATGTAAATTGTTACAGACTCTGACTTTTTAGTTAATGCTGCTGAGACTCATGTAGTTCTGGAGGTCCCCATTTTAATCCTAGATGTTTGGAAGGAGTCAGAAGAGTTTTCTTGCACATTCTAGAAAGGAAAGGAAGTACTAGAGTGAATGTATGTACATTATTTGTATGAAGAAGCTGGAACTGTTCCTCCCTGAACACTGTACAATTTTGTCATTGTCTCTAAATGTTCTCAATAAAGATGCAGTTTTCTCCTATATGGATTTTCATTTATTAATTTTTTTGTAGAATACTTTACTTCATATCTACTCTCTGAAGTCTTCGGATACTTTCTTTCCCTTTAGGAGTTTTCAGTTATTCCCCATGATATCATTATATTTTCCCTTGAAGCTCTGTGTTCATAACAGGATACTGGGGAGAGAAGCTGTTCAGTTTGTGATTGATTAGTGGATGTACAATCTCAATTCCCTTGGAAAGTGGGTGTGTGATTGTTTGAGTCTGTGCTTCTTTCGAGAGGGACCATTTCAGGGAATTGCAGTTAGAGCTGCAAACAATCCATTAGTCACTCATCCAGCCCTGCCAGCATAATACTGTTCTCTGTAGTACATTATTGAGTGTTTTGTCCAATATTGGTTTGAGTGACTCAAGCCATGAGGCTTCCACCACTTCCTCTGAGAAACCATTTCATGGTCTGACAGACCTCACTGTTAGGAAATATTTCCTGGTACTCAGCCTAAACTTTTTAACACTCAAAGTGATCTCATTACTGTTAGGTATACTCTTTTTCCCAGTTCTGTCGTCTTTGACGTTCACACTCTTGAGTGAATAGTAGATTGTATCATATCTCCTCATAAGTCAAGCAAATGCATAATTAATTCTTCTATTTCTGCTCTCCAAATAGGCCATCTGTTTGGTGGAAGACAGGCCGAGTATGGGAAGATTTTTTTCTTCTAAGTGCTTTTTTCAAACAAATAATATGAAAAAGTGCATTAGGAGTTCTTACATAGCTCCAAGAAGTCCCAACTTATATTTAAAAGGCTTTTCAGAAATTATGTAGAAGATGGTAACTTTTCCAGGAAGTTATTTGAAATAGTGATACCTTTTTCTAGCACAATATACAGCTCTAGCGCTAGTAGTCTGTCACGTTTCATGGCTTCAGGGAATGTTTAGTAATGTTGGTTCATCTATTTATCAAGCAAATTATATGTAGCTACAGCGTGGAGAGAGGAGAGCAATGGTAGCAGAATAGCAAGAAGATCCAGGAGCCACTTGAATGTCTGTCGTTCGTGGCTTTACAGCCAGAATTTACAAGTATTTATAAGGTCATATAAGGACTGCTGAGGAAGGAAATGTACTTTAATCCATCCAATCATTACACATCTCTGTATTTCTTTCTAGTAGCCAACATCTGTTTGGTATTTCTTTCTTCTGTCCTCCTGCTTGCCTTATTATAGTGTAAATTCTACAAAGATATATGCATATAATAAATTCTATTTTGCAGAATCTGGGAATGTACTATTCTTATTTCTTAAGGATGGTCTGCTACTTGGTCAGATTCTCCTAGTCAGGGAACACTTAGATTTATAAATAAAACTTCTAAACTAGTACTCCATACTTGCTTTGAAAAACATGCAGTATGTATTTTAAGCATATGTTTATGTTTTTTGATTAATCACTGTGTAATTTGGGAACCAAACCCATGTTTTGTTAAATTTTTTACCTGAGATTACCTGATGTGTGTGGTTTGTGACCCAGGCTTCCAGCCTGGGGAGTAAACAAGCTGTGTGCACTTCCTCTGAACTGTACTAGAAAGGATATATGGGTCCTCAGGCAAGAGCATTCCTGAGCTAACTTATTAAAATTTTACTAAGCTAAGCTAATTAAGGAAGAAAAATGCAGTGATCAAACTAAGATTGAGTCAAGTTTGAACTAAATCAGTGGGTTCAGGTGATTAAACTAACAATTTAATATCACATATAATCTTATGATATTGCACACAAATACGTAAATGCAAAAAAGGAAAAGGCAGATAAAATAACAGTTTGCCATCAGGAAAGTGAATAACTCCTGAAGCTTTCTCATTCTGTCATTCACTACCTGAGAGGAACTAGAGATAGATTTGCTGAAGCCCAGGCCATGTGCTATGTCTCTTGGGAAGTCTCAGGCACCTCCTTCACCTCTGAGTGGAGTGTCTGAGGCAGGCAGAATCTCCAAGTGAGACCTCCTTTCACAAGGGAAAGAAATGCTCATCTCTTTTCTTTCCTTTCTTTTTACAGGGAGCATTCCTCACTTTTTCCACCTCAGAGGCAAATGCAATGACTGTGGGGATGAGTTGTATGGAGTGACACAGGAAGGGGTGGCTGCAGTTTAGTCCCCGGCAGGTGGCACATGTCTGAGGTGAGGATGGGAAGTCCCACCTCTGGAATGGTCCTTCCACTCACATTGATTACCCCCACAGATGAGGAGCAAGATGCATGCAGGACTTTGAGTCTAGAAGCACACGTGGCTTTTATGTGAATTAACTCTACCTGTATTTAAGGAACTGATGTATTCCCGCTCCCCATGTCAATTCCGTGGCAATATTCCTCATACGTGCCTGTGCCCAACCTGCTCTCTGCCAAAGATCTGATATTCTCTGTGTTCAAGAGTGTGTTTCCCTTCCATGCAGGTTATCCAGGCTGTCTTCTTTGGGATTTGTGTCTTGACCGACTTGTCCAGTCTTCTCACTAGAGGAAATGACAGTCAAGAACAAGAGAGGCAGCTGAAAAAACTCATTTCCCTCCGTGACTGGATGATGGCTGTTCTAGCTTTCCCAGTTGGAGTGGTAAGTACAGTGTTAGTCCAGGCATGTCTTTGCAAACTGGTGAACGATGTTACTTTTGATTGTTTTCTGCCTGAACGGCTTTCCCACCTCTATGCAAAAGACTATGCAGAAAGGGAAAAGTGGTAGAGTTGATTTTACTACTGTCTTGTTTTTCACAAGTGTGAGGAAGCACAAGTGTGAGGAAGCAACACAGTGTGTTGCTGGAATAATCTTTGGGTCATTAAAAAAATTTATATTATAATAAGAACTTGATTGTACAAGTAATTTCAAATGTGTATAGTCCCAGCAGCATCCTGAGACTCAATTTAGACTTTTTCTGCACCACATGTCATCATCAGGAGTAGTGAAAGTGCTGACTGTGGCATGTTTTACACTATAATGACCTGATGGGAGTTTGGGCTGTAAGCCATTTTGACATGGGCAAGAAGGGAAGCAAAAGTCCAGGTTGCTCCCTGTTAAACCCATGGGGGATTTAGAACTGACAGAATTGGTGTAGGAAAAAAGGGTTCTGTCAGTAATGTAAAAAACCATACAGAAGGTATGTAAAAATGTGATTTTTACATGTGTTTTTCAAAAGAAAATGATTCTTTGTATCAGGTCCTGCTCCACTGGGGCATTGCACGTCACTTTCACTGGCAAGAGGTGCTCAGTGTCTTTACATGTCTCTTATCACACACTGAAAGCAACTGAAAATCCAGAATTTCATGAGTTTTTACATAGAAGTGTAATATGTGTCAGTCTAGTTCTAAGTTACATTAGGTTACATTACAAAAATGTGTGAACATTTCGTTAAAAGTATTGTTTTTGTTGTAATTCCAGATTAGTCTTTAATTATTTTTTTTTAATTTCAGTGTACAATAGTTCAAAATAAATTCACTAGAAGCAATTTTTTTCATGGTAGAACTCATAGAAAGCTGTACGAGGTCTTTAAAGTTGTACTGTCTCACAAAAACTGATCATTCACTGTCAGTTAACAGCAGTTAACATATCAATCTGTCATTCGTAATTTCATATATTCAGAGATGCTTCATTAAAATTTGATTTCACTGTTTACGTGAAATTTCACAATAAGTGAAGAAATACAGAATACTTTTGCAAAGTTTCAAAAGGCAAAGCATATATGAAACACTGCAGGTACTTCTTTCATAAAAACACAGCTGGTAGCCTTCCCTTATTGTACTTGCTGGCCTACCTTTTAGGAGCTACCACAATTCATGTTGGGATAGCAGACTGCAGTTTTCCAGCCACGGTAGAAGAAACTGGATCAACTAATATAGTTATTAGAAGATCCATGCATAAACAAGATTGCAAATATATATTTAATGGGTGCAGAGATTTATATGTTAATATAAATCACGCCCCTCAGGATTCATGGTTTCTTTCCTGCCATTCTTATAGCTCTGTACTGTGTTCCTCCACTCCTGCAGTGCTCCTGACCTTGAAACTTTTCAAGATGTTGGAGAATTTTAGCTTCACTTTGTCTTAGCAATTCTGCACATTTCTTTCAGGCTCTGTTTCTCTTGCCACCCGTAAGCGAGGAATCCCAGCTAGCCATTGCCTGCACTACAGTTGCCATTGCAACATTTAGAAGTTAGCAGTTCCCAAGAGATGTGTTGCATACCTGGAGCTAGCTATTTTCCCAAGGGCTTCGTACAAGAACAGCTTAAACAAACGAACGTACAAATGCAGAAGATAGTATGGCCATGCTCATTGGACAGATGCTCTCCGTTTCCAAATGTGACCTTTCTGTGGTGAAGGGGAGCAATTAATTACCACATATTATTTCACTTCTTACAAAGCAAGCCTAAAAAGGTTGTTTTCGTTGTTATTTCTACTCCTGACTACTGGGAGACAAACGGCAGTCATGGCTAGGCTTCACAAATGAAGATTTGGGAAGGGCTCTACCCACATTTGTTACAAGTGCACTGGTGGCTAAAAAGGCCAATACGAGTTGGACAAGTCCGGTTGCAAAAGGCACAGCAGAAAGACTCCTTAGGTGGTGTATTCTGCAAGACACAATTCTTTCTGCGTTGTCTTTTCTCCTCAAGAGTGATCCTGAAGAGTGATCCTATGTGTTTTCTCACAGCAGAACTTCATAACTTAAGACTAGTCTCAGCTCCTTCCTGAAACCTGATCCTCTCCAGCAGCAGAGGAGATCTCACTGCACACTTGCCAAAGCCTGCCCACTGCCTGAGGCACTGCTGGTCACTGGAGGCTTTGCTTTGGTGGGATTAGGGGTAGGAAGAGTTCAAGGCCTTAAAGTAGCAAATATCTAACACTGACTTTGTTGTCTGAAGATCTGTTTATGTATAAGAAAAAACCCAGTGAAATTTTGCTATGATGGAGATTCTTGTTAGAAGGAAGTGCAGACCTCCTTTCCTTGAGACTCATTCACCTACATGGAGCTTCTCAGTGGTTCCCAGTAGTGACACAAGGGAACCTTCAGACATAAAAATTGGACAGATGTGAATAAAATCTTTGTTGGGTTCTAATGTAACAGCAGTGGTCATGCTTAAGTACTTGTCAGTTACCTTAACATCTAAATTATTTTTATTGCTTAGTGTTTTACAAGGGGCATGTTTAGGGAATAGTGCAAATACTGAGGAATATTTTAAAGCCTACTAACTGTAGTTTTTCAAGAGCAATTCACCACATTTTTTCTTGTATTTTCTGCTTACTGAAGCCCTTGAGATGACTTGTTCTGAAAAACAGATGAGAAAAGGGATTCCACTCCCAAGTCAAACAATGGAGTGTGAAAATAAATGTAACAAAGTAAAGTTTTTCATTCTTAGTACTTCCTAAAAAAGTATTACATATAAACCATCTGGGAAGTCCGACCACCAACCTCCTCCCACCTTCCAGAGGAGGGAAAAGAACCAGCCCAAGGGTAAATAATCTCTTTGGGTGGCTTTGCAACAAATAAAGTCTTGCAAACAAATCTTGCAAAATCTGTGCAGCAAATCACATCTCTCCAGTGTTGTGATATGCATTGTATATCTTCAGGGGCTCAGATAAAACTGAATTGCCAACCTACTATTTTGATCAGAAGCATTAAGAAATAAACATGAACCTCTTTTAAGGACATAATGATTACTGTTTACTTATTGTTGCTCTTTTTAATAGGACTCTTAAGAGAATGAAATCAGAAATCAAAGCCTTGTACCATGAAAAGTCTGTGGGCAACACTTCCTAGCATTTTTTTAGTTCATTATAAGCCTATGATACTATTCAAATGCCTCAGAGATTGGGAATCATCCACAAAAGAAAATTGCTTGCGTAGGCATTTTAGAAGTTCCTCGCCAGTTCTCATCTATAATTACTTACACTTGCCATCCCTTTATCTGTGTAAAGGAGATATATGTTGGGAGTAATTTACACTGCTAGAGAAATGGGAGACATGCTTAAAAGTCAGAGACTACACCAGTGGTTTAGACTATCCTTCCTTTTTTCTGTTTGTTTGACATAGATCACTAGGTTACCAACTTTCTGTGGTTAATTACTATTTTGTGTAAACTGTATATGGTTTTATCAATATGTTTCTTGTAATTTGTATAAAACAAGAGGAAGAAGAGATAAAACAGGCATTTCTAGTTTTTAAAGACTGTTTAATAGAAATAGGTGGAAGAACAAAAATTGAAATTATTGCACATTAAAAGAGAGATTGCTGCCTAGAAAATTGCAAACTCTACCACAGACATTTTATATCGTATAGCATTAATAGCTTTGTTTGGTCTGAGTTACTGGCTAGAATTACCTCAATTTTTATGTTATACTTTTATGTTTTTATAAACCTGTGATACAAAGGAGAGAAAACCAGGCATACTTTCTTATTTTCTGTTTCTCTGTACTGGTACAGGTAAAAGGAAAGCTGATCACCCTTCTGTAGATCATCAATAATGCTAATTTGTGATCTTATGCCAAGAAAAGATGTCTAGGCATTTGCTGCAGTTTCCTAGTTACACCATTAATTGACTAGACTACAGCATACTTTTGTTTCCAGAACTGACTCAACCATGCCAAAATCTCTCTGTTCTGGATTTTACCCTTATCTGTTGTGACAAGGTGACCTGTGATGGTAACATCAGTGAGTGGCGGTGCAATTGTCTCCTGAAGTCTATTCTGCGAGAGGGGTCTTCCCATATTTTCATTTCTCACTCCTTGTGATTTCCTTCATTGACTCCTTTCAAATCCATTTGGCATATTGCTGTACTAGCACTAGATCCCGCCTAAAGCCAGTACCTTGCCAGTTTGTGCTTACTGTGGTTTCTGCCTTCACCAACACTTTTCTTCTAGATGTGATGCCTTTAACCCTCAAAAAAGCTCACCAACAATATATTTATTCTCACTGTTAACCACGAGTGTGTTGAGGGATAGCCAGAAAGCTTACCTTTAAGTGTATTTAGAACAAATTGTGTCAAGGTCATAAGGGGTTTTTATCTTTGCCATGAGGCCATCCAGGAAATGACTGAACTGAACAGTGCAACCCAACCAAAAAGAAAAACACAAAGTGTAGGAAAATAAAGTTCCACTGGGTTCACTCTTCGTTTGCATAACATTTCTTGATTGGACTCACGTAAAAGTGCTAATTATACAATTCTTTTCATTGGCTTTACTTTCTTACTTTCTCTTTGCTTCCATTTGTAGTGTTTTGCCAAGCCACATGATTTCTCTTTTGAATCACCATCCGTTTCCTGACTTGTCCTTTAAAGTTTTTCCCTTGTCAGGGCCACATGCTCTTCTCATGTCCTCTGAAGCTTCAGAGACAGAGGACAGACACTGTCTTCCCTTAAGTGGGAGGACAGTGTTTTGTTTTCAGCCTTATTTTTTTTTCTGCTGCTATGTATTTGTTTAGCAGTCTTTCAGATGCCTGTAATAAGCGAGCTATTCCACAGTTTCGGTTTCCAAAGTCTACTTGCAAAGTTGAGGTTTGGTTTGGTCTGTAATGACCAGGACCCAAGATAGGTAATCATTAGAAACAAATAGAATCATTACAGACCCTAGATAGGTTAAGCAGCCAATGAAGGACTTACATGTTGCTTAACCTTATGTTTAACAAAGTAATTGCTGGCTTTGGAAAGCTGGCAATCGTAGGAGGCTCCTGTGCAAAGAAGTGTAAAAGCAATTGCTAGTGCCTGTTCTCTTCCTTGAATTCCATGCCTTGAGTTTGTCTGAAGGGGAAGTGGAAGGCTGACATTTGTGCCATTTTGCCATGGGAACAAAAGAAAATAAAATGTTTGGCTCCCTGAAATTTGTCTGCATGTGAGCAGCCTGTTCAGCCTGGCATGTGAGGGTAGTACTGTGGCTGTCTCCACAAGAGTGATGAATTGTGCCACAAGGAAGGCAGCATGAGTGTAAGAGGTGCAGTTTGAGCCTTGCATAGATGGTGTAAAAAAGCAGCTCACTTGAATCACAGTCTGGCACTGCATGATCGCGTGTGATCTTAGCGAAGCCCAGCCCAAATGAAAGTCTGCCAGTAGCAAAATGTAAGCATGGTATAGGTTATTTAATAGTACCAGACCAACAGTTGCTCATTAATCGAAGTAAACAAATTCAGAAGCAGCCAAAGTAACTATGTAGCAAGTCCTCATTATACTTTTTTTTAATCCAAAAAGTTCATTTTTATAGTTCATTTTATCCAGATGAACTAATTGTAAGGAAAGGTAAGGTGAACCATTTAAACACTGCAAGGAATCTTCCCCAGGGTGTTGCATTGGTCTCATGTCGGGTCATCCTCTGGGACGGGTTAGTTCTGTAACACATTGGGTTTTGCGCACTTCCTTTACCTTATGTCTGCCCTGTGATAGTGCTTTGCTAAGCAGCGTTTGCCGTCTGTAGTTCCAGATGGTTGCAACCAGCTAGGCTGATCCTTTTCCATCCATTGGCTGACTTTGGTTAAAGGACAGATGGCATGTTTCTTCTTTTCTTATGTTTACCTCTATTGTTTTATTCTGCTCCACACAAAAATCACAGGTCAGAGCATGCCAGCTTTGTCGTATTCAGTGTAATAAAGTTCAACCTAATTCTGGGTGATTTTTCTTCCTGTAGGACTTCTTTGGAAAACATTATCAGTCTTGGTCTTCATATGCCTGAGATCTTTTTATGTCCCAGTTGGTCTTAGCAGGTTCTCAGAGACCCACTGTGATAATGCATGACTTCTAGGAAGCCTATAGAGAAGAGGATACTTTGCTTCCATTTTTCCTGCTGTTCAGCTATTCATATCTTGGCACTTATGTGTCAGCAGGTGCGTAAAGAACTAGGCTCTGCCAGTGCCAAGACTGGCCCAGAAGAGAGATTTCTTGTGGGGTACTTTACACTTGCAATATTTTTCAGGCTGTCCATCATAACCTTTTTTTTTTTCTGGCCTCTGTGCACTAGTCAAATAGCCTAAGTTTATTCTGAGCAGGCACCAATAGCTATCATAACAGATGGACAACTGTGTTGGAAACCAAGAAACTATGTACTGTATACACACTGAGTGTACACTGAACCAGTGTACTGGTTCAGGTCATTCACATAACTGACTGGCTGAAGTCTGCATGTCTGTGGTTAGAACAAGATGCCATTGATTAACTGCAAACCTCAGTTTTAACTTTCCTAAGTCAGAAGCATAGGAAACAACTTATGCCTGCACTGTTGCACACACTAGTAATTCGCTGACCTTGCTGTGCTCACCCCATGTTTCTTTCACTTTCTTTTACTGAGCCCCTAAATTAGCTGTAAGGTCATGAGCAATATCAGTTTGGATGTAACTGAATAATTCCCTTCTGATCTCAATGAAAGTCTTATCTGTTGACTCTCAAACTTTAAACTTGAATTTATCATTACTGTGTAGAGATCCCCTGTACACGGCCATTGAGAAGCTGTTTGTCCAGTTATTGGGTTTTACTGCTATAAACGATGTCTTTTTTATTACTAGAAAACTATGGCTCAAATTCAAGGTAAGAAAGCAATGGTGTTTTAATTAGAAAATTACTTACCTGTCCCAGGTAAGGTAAGCTAAAACCATTATTTCTGTAAATTTTTGTGGGTTTATGTTGTCTTTGACTTTCAGACATAGGATATGTTTAAAGAATTTGTGCACACTTGGGAGAAAATTTAGCCTAGTGCAAACTTTACCTGAGACATCTGTCCTGTCCTCAGTCTAGAGGACATAATGGTTTTTCTCTGGGATCCTGGTAAATAGTCTCTGACAAGAACCAAGCCACATTTCATACTGACAAATGAGCAGGATATTAGAACTATTTTCTGTGGATCCCAGTCCATGAATTGTGTGGAGAGTAGTCAAAGGGTTATTTTTTTTTTAATGCTGTTTCGATGGCTAGCACAAATAAGTGCAAATATGAATTTGTATGGTTCTGTTGAGGGGTGAATGTTTCATATTTATATGTTCTATGAATTCCAAGTGATATTTTACCTGATTTTCCATTTGTTTTCGATCCTGTTACCGGTGAAATATTATTTATGTGCCACATCTGCTACTAAACTGTAGTATTCAGTTGTAATTTGGCCGTAGGCATGTAAGTGAAAACATGAGATTTTTTTTCCAGGCTGAAAGTCAAGGGGAGGAAAAAAAAAAGAAAAAAAGTTAAAACCTCTGTGAATTCAAAGAGTAAAACAGATTCACACTGTTTATTAGAGCAGTATTTGGTCAAAGAACAATGATGTCCATGTCTATCCATAATCATTTGCTGAATGCCCCATTTTGCTACCTATAAATGTATGGCTAATTGTTCAGAAGCATATATTTAAAAATGTCGTCTTTTTTTTCTTCTTAGTTTGTCGTGACGATGTTTTGGAGCATCTATATCTATGACAGGGAACTGGTTTACCCAAAGCTACTTGATAATTTTATACCAGCATGGCTAAATCATGGAATGGTGAGTAAAAGTTATGCAAACACTTTCTTGCGTAAAGAAAAGTCAAGACTCTGATTTCCCCGTGCATGACTCTGCATACACTTAGAGCTGATGCCCTCAGAAATGATTAAAGAACGTGGTTTGCAAGCAAGAGTAACATCTTTCCTTCCTTGACTCCTTGAGTCATATTTGAATCTTTATTAGCTTGGAACGGTGGAGATTTGAACTTACGTGTCCTACATCCCAGGCTAGTTGTGGGGGTCAGCTGTTTTCTGTGATAAGGTAGTTTTCTCAGAGAAATACCACCCTGGTCATGAGGAAATTTAATCAAAAGAGACTTCCACAAAACAGAAGTTCTGACTTAGACAAATCTTGCTCTAAAATGACAGAAACACTTAATTGAAAGATTTTTTTGGCATTCTACCAAAATATAATTTATGATGGAAATGTTTTTATTAAAATGTTTGTTCAAAAAAATCTGCTTTTGGACTTGTATGTTTTTAGAAAAAAAATTGAAATAATTACTGATTTCTCAAGCACACCAAACTTATGTAGCAGAACCTGTATCTGAATATTTTTAATAATGTGAAATTGTGCAGATTGAAACAGTGCAGAGTTTCAAAATTGCTGCATTGGTAATCATAAAGATAGTTTCTTCACAAGAAATCTGACCTTTTAATCCCTCTCTGGTATGTCAAGTCAGACATTCTTTCTCTCAACTATATGTTTAAATGCTAAGGGAAAGATAAGGCCACACTTTGCCATCAGGTACTTTCTGCTGTTTTTGCAGCATTATGCAGTGTTGTGTTTCCTTCTCTAGTTGCATCTGTGCAGAATGTTTCATTGTTACTTTGTTCTCCATATCAAGGCACGGCAAACCATTTGGCACTGCTGTTCATTAGTAGATGACAGCAGAGCTCATCCTTAAGGGTGTGAGTCTTGTATCACCACAGCAGATCAAGATTTGTCCACTACTACTGGGCATGATAAATTGGTCCTTTGCAGAGTGGGGCAGATGGCACTGCTGTTCCCTAATTTTTTGTAAAAAACGCAGTACAAGCGTTGCTGCTGACAAGAGGAGGATCAGCTTTTACTAGATATTGTACTGTTTTATGATGCTTTAAAAGGAACAGCATGATATTATGTGTGTGTAGAGCAGAGAAAAGAGTCTGATGACTCCCGCTGTGTTTGTTCAGGCTGTCCTCCCTCGAGTTTTGAGGTTGCAATCTGAACACTTGCAAACACTGCCAAACCATGCATACCTTGATTTTTTTCCCAACAACAGATCAGTGGCAGGTCTGATGACATTTCTTCCAGGTGACATTCCACATACTGGAAGTACCTAACCTGTAACATTTTTCATGAATTGTGAAGCAGTTTTATGTTGTTGTATAGTGTGAAGCAGTTGGCAACAAACAGCTGTATATATTCAGGAAGTCTTCTCTCTCAGCCACAACTGAGAGGCGACTCAAGCTCACGTTGCTTTGTAGAAATGTCTACTTGCTGGAATATATGAAGAAGGTTTTTTTATTTGTGATTTTTGGACATCGTAGAGTTTGCTGAAATGTATTGTATGCAAGCATCTTAGACTTTTTTTCGACTTGAAATATTGTAGAAAGCATTTTTGAAAGACTTTTGTAATGGAATTGTTTTCTGCATCAATCTCCATTTATCCAAGTGTTCCTTTAGCTCAGTCACAGGGGAAGCTTATGGCTGTGGGCTTTTCACCACATTTTAGTCACATTCTTTCTGATATTTTACTTATCATTTTATCCTCATCAGCTTTCATACTAATTAATTCTGATGCATTGCCCATAATAATATGAAAGGTTATTAAACTACCTTGAGAATGCCAGCACTTCACTTACTAGTAGTTACAATTTTGACATTGGCAAATTTTAGAGAATAAAATTTTCACCCGTGGGAAATGGGTAGGACCTCTGGGAATACAGTTTAGAAAAGTCAGGATCCCTGGCTGGTTTTTTATACTGAAGTAAACATTTATCCTCATGTATTTCTTCACATTTTGACATCAGCTGTGCACATTCAATGATAATTTTTCTGAATGCAAGGGTGGCCGTGCTGGAACCCAACCTTGTACAACAAAATTCACACAAGAGACTCATTAGCCTTGGCAGAGTGAAACCTGTCAGTGAGAGGTGGGTTGTTTTGCCTCTGTAGCACTGCTAATACATCCCACTTTTGTGTGAGCTTCCCCTGCAGTACCTGGTGCAGCTCTTAGGAATCTGACCGCAAATGTTACTTAACCTGTGAATACTCTTTCCAGGTTTTTTCACAACAGTTTCCCCAAAAAGTGCATTTAGCACAAAAAAAAAGCCATGAAAAGTGGAAAATGTAAAACTATACATTTTTCGCAGTAAAAAGATTCCTAGTTTACTTGAAAAGTCATATTTTTGAAAGTTTCTGGCAAAGGTATTATGACCAGCTGTAACAACTTGCTCAACTGTCAACATCAGCCTTCAAAATCCATACATAGAAAAGGAGTGAAAAGTCATGAAATCTGACTGTAATAAAGCAATGATATTTCCATTAGCATTAGAATATTTGAGAGTGTTCATACTTTAGAATATTTGAGAGTATTCATACTTCAGAAGCATTTTAAGGTGGCTATAAAGTAGGCTGTATGCAGAAACTGTTTGAAAGGCTGCATTAGCCCAGGCAGAAGTGGTTTGGGCAGCAGTGTCTGCTGCTTTTTAGGTTATAATAATTAGTTCTCATCGTCCTTTTTCTTCTCCTCCTTTCCCATCCCTTCTCTACAGTTACAACACCATCTGTACTTAAAATTCTGTTTTCTTGAATACTTAGTCTGTCTTGTTAATACTCAGAGATATCACTCCTTCATAACAATACTTTTTCAACATAAAAAAAAATAAATCCTAATTATAGAAAAAAATCCCCTCTAGGGATGGAAAACACAAATGAAATGAGCCTTGGAACTATGTGGTCCTGTTGCCAATTTAATCTTAATATTTTTTATAAAATTTCATAGAAACAGAAGAGAGGCTAATAATTGTGCACGAAATAAAAAGCCACAAACATAAAATTGCGTATGGTGTCCAGAACTCTGTTTCCGTTTTATATATCTATCTATATATAAACACTGTAATAGTTACCAGTATAATTCCTGTGTATGGGAAAATTTGTACAGTAAGTGGTGCCTTGCGGTACCAAACAGTTCTTCAGATATGTAGATTCATACACCTGTGAAAAATATCACTAACAGAGTTGTACTGTACCATAAAACTGATATTTTCGTCATCTCAGTCAGTTGCTTCATCCATAACCAGTGGTATCACTATGACTTGAGAAATGACCAGAGAAATCAGTGGCAGGATTGCTGTTGATTTCTTCAATGAAGAAAGGATTTCATCTCTGTTTACTATGTGAAGGAGCACATCTGAGTCGCTGAGGTTAAGCTTCTATTGGACAAAATAACTACCTGTCTAAAGAGAGTTGTTGGAGAATAGGGCTGTGTCTCAGCCGTGATCTGTTTCTGAACTGTCAGATGCACTTCCTAGATTTATTAGTTATGCAGATGAATTCATCTTTGCGGGCTACAATTTTAGTTGCCAAATTACTGAACTCTTTCATCAAATATGTCATTTGTGTTCTTGAGACTGTCCTGCAGTTTGGATCCATATCAGCTCATAATTCAACAGGTGCATTTTCCATGGGAAATAGTCTTTCCCATTTTCTGATGGCTGTCTATCTGATCTTTCTCAGTATTAGGAATTTTTAATTAAAGGCTAACCTTTAGTGTTTAAAACTAATGTGTCATAGTAATAGGCTTTTTATCAGCTCCTTCCTTGCACCTTTTTGTGTTGGTACTGGACAGGTTGATGCATGGATAACATTTGTTTCCGTAAGTTATATTCCCTTCAGTATTAGCACAGGCTACATAACTAGAGGTTGCCCCTATTCTAACCAATGCACACATAAACAGATATGTAGTCTGAATTAATTTAAGCTTGAGCATTGCTGATTTTGAGCCAGGTTACATGGCAGGACTCCCCGAGGTATCTATGCAAGTTAGCATACCATTTCAGCAAGAGTCCTTCTTTGTTTTTCGCAGACGCTATCTCAAATTTGTTTTAAAAATGTGAATCATCTTTTGTTTATGGTGAAGAAAGCAAAATGCAGAGATAGAAACTACTTACTGAGGAGTTTAAGTGGCTCTGGAGGTCACAAACAAAGTATTGTCTTCATATGAGAACTCTAGAGGAGAGGTCAGGAAGAGGGGAAGAAGAATATGCTCTGCATCTGTGGAGCTGGAGAAATGATTATTTCATTACTTCTGTGCCACTGCAGTCTATATGAGCTCTTCCAGTTTTGTCCTCTTGTTATTTTTTAATGCTGCTTTTGGGACATGGGAAACAAAGACATTTTTAAAAAGACTTACCCTCTGTCCTTGTATTCAGGAGAATGCACAAAAGCTGTGACAAATAGCAGAAAAATACAAGTTATGGAGAGGAAGGAGCCTGTCCAAGTGATATATCTCTACTTATTTCACAAGTTATCTCTCTTTTCTTATTGCTGAAAAGTTGAGCGCACCAGAGGGTGGTACGGAGTCCCACTGACCACCTCTCCAGCTGTTTTTCCTAGCAGCCTTATCTTCAGTCTGATGGCCTTGGCTTGTGTGTGTCTCTTTGTTTTACTGGTGGCAAGGACATAACCCTGTTGGAGTGAATCCAGAGTAGAACCATGAAGATGACTGGAGGGATGGAACACCTCTCCTATGAAGGAAGGATGAGAAAATTGGCATTGTTCAACCTGGAGAAGTGAAGGCTCCAGGGTGACTTTATTGCAACCTTTCAGTACTTAAAGAGGTCCCCCAAGACAGATGGAGAGATACTTTTTACAAGGAGATGTAGTGATAGGACAAGGGGGAATGGCTTCAAACTGAGAGAGAGTAGGTTTAGATTAGATATTAGGAAGAAATTCTGTCCTGTGAGGGTGGTAAGGCACTGGAACAGGTTTCCCAGAGCAGCTGTGGATGCCTC